ATAAAATACAAAAGCAAAAATATAAGCATACATTAAATATGTAAATATAAAAGTATAAAAATAAAATCTTAGAAACATAAAAGCAAAATAACATTTTTTAACAGGTAGAAAAACAGAACTCTAAAAAGCAAATTTGGAGCTAAGACCAAGCTTAAATTTTAGGGTGTTTTAAAGCCATAAAGCTGAGGGCCACCTGGGTGGCTCAGCTGGTTAAGTGTCTGACTTCGGCTCAGGTCATGATCTCATGGTTTGTGAGTTGGAGGCCCACGTCAGGCTCTGCACTGACCATGTAGAGCCTGCTTGGGATTCTTTCTCTCTCTCCCCTCGCCCTGCTTCCTTGTGCTCTGTCTCTCTGAAAGTAAATAAACATCTAAAAAAATTAGAAAAAAATTTAAATGAAATCAGTTAGAGGTTTTGTGTTTTTCTCCATCTACCTTCAGTTGCACTGGTACCGGTATGGGATGGGCAAGGTTCGATTAACCAGAATTGCATCTTATCAAATGAGGACCATGAAATAAGTGTGAAAAGGGAGGAGAGAATGAAGAACAAATGTCAGGTATGACTGACCGACCAGGAAATTTCAGCTCAGGAAATTTCAGCTCAGATGAGAGTGTGTGATAGTCAAAAGATAACTGGATTGGGGTGATCAAACTCTTTAAGATGGAAAATACGGTTCAGGATTTAGAGTTCTAGAATATCACAATCACCAATCAGTAATGCCACTTGTGAAGTCTGAATCGCCAGACAACCACACACCTGTTGTGGCCTGAACTGACTGCGGCCGCATCTGTAGCACTGATCGTCTAACGACCATTATGGCTTCATGGAGAGTCAGGCGGGCACATGTACGTATTGAAATCTACTTTATCTCATTACAAATTACATAGAAATTTCCTTTTTTAGTGCAGTTAGGACATTATTGGGATTTTGAAAAATTATGTGTACTCGGTATCATGTACAAATTTTATTTCAGGATTATAAGGGAGACATTAAAAGAGGGCACTGAATTGGACAGGGTTCAGAATCACGGCCTTTCTCAACTCTCATGCACATACACAAGGTGACAGCATGAAAGGATGGTTACAGCAAAAAAAAAAAAAGAAAAAACCAAAAACAACCTGGACATTCTTTAAGAAAAACAATGGACAAGATCCAGATATAAATAGCTAGGTCTCAATTTTTATTTAAGCAACCTAAGAAATGGTATATTTTAAGAAATTGATGGTTTATGAGAAATACAATCAAGGTGAGGCTGGAAAGTGTCCTCCGAATGGCAAAGAGGCTGTGATTTTGGATTCTGAAAAGACTTGAAATCTTAGTACATTACGTAGCTGAGCACTACATACTTATGATATAAATGCTATTTACCTCTCTATTTTTTAGAGTCAACTTATTATGATAGCTGCAGATAAACAGTATAAAAAAGGAGAACTGACAAATGTTAGGCTATTGAATGAAGAGTCAGTTTACAGAAGAGCAGAAAGGGAGGAGGAAAATCTTAACCTCCCCTAAGTTCAAGTACTCCTCCATCAATTTACCAAGTTTACAACAGATGCTCAAGAAAGGCGATTACCCTTAAGTCTTCTCTCTCAACCCACCAGGAGGTCCCACTCTATGATACTGGCTCTACCCGCAAATTCAATCTCAGCCTTCCACTTCCCACTGCCACTGCTACCAAAGCAGGTTCGGCCGCCGCCATCTCCTTGCTTCTTCTGTTGCTCCTTCACAGTCCACCCGCCGCAAAGCAGCCCTTCCTCCACGTAAAACCCTCCACTGGCTTTGAATAAAATCCTATAAGGCCCTTTCCACCTGCCTCCTCGATCTCACCTTTCTTAACACCTCTCACTGGTAAACTCTAGCTAGGGCCTCCCCATCTACAGTTTCCTGTCTACATCATTCCTCACTCCTACATTCATGTCATGTCTGTACCCAATTTTCGCCTCCCTTTCGTGACTACCCCCAAACAGTCTCATCTTACCCTCATTCCATCACATCAGTTGATTACAATCACTTGCTACCTGAAATTAGCTACACTGTATACCCTTCTGCCTTTCTCTTTCTACTAGGATCTATCTCCATGATGGCAAGGATCTGACTTTCCCATGTGCTCTTTTTAATTTTTTAAATGTTTTCTTTATTCTTCAGACAGACAGAGAAAGAGCACGATCAGGGGAGGAGCAGAGAGGGAGACACAGAATCCGAAGCAGGCTCCAGGCTCCGAGTTGTCAGCTCAGAGCCTGATGTGGGGCTCGAACTCACAAACCGCAAGACCATGAGATCGTGACCTGAGCCGAAGTCAGACACCCAACCGAGTGACCAGGTGCCCCAATGACCATCTATTTGAAATTCCAACACCTGCATCCTGCCCAACACTACTCCCTTCCCTGCTCTTTTCTCCGAAGCACTTACCCCCATCTAACATAGTGTAGATTCTAGTTATTCATCTGGTTTATTCCCTACCTCCACAACCAACTAAGTCCACAAAGGCAAGGATTTGTTTTTCCACTCCTGTATCTGAAGTGCCTAGAAGAGCGCCTGCTTGTCGTAGGTCCTCAATAAACATCCGAATGAAGCCAAATGAATGATCTTTCCTAGTTTTGTTCACAGCAGGATTCTCAGGGTCTAGAACACCACTAGCATCATCACTCAAATTTATGAAAGTAATGATGGCTATTAAGACAAATTCCAAAGTACTATCAAATCCAAAGAAAATTATATTTTGCTCAGCATAATGTGAAATTTAAGCACAATTCTCTATTTGTGTGTATGTGCAAAGAATTCCATGCTATGCTTTTTTTTTTCCAAATGAGTTAAGTATGTTTTATTGTATCTTGGGTAAAAAATGATGACCTAGTTTGGTAACTTAGTTTACAAAACCAAGTAAGAAATGAATTCAAAAGCCCTCTAACAATGTCAGAAGAAGGTTTTACATACAGCATTCAGCAGAAAGAAGAGAACTAATGGTTCAGGAAGGAGAAAGCAGAATTGATAAATTAATATCCTTAAGTAGGCAAGAGACCATGGAAGGGAGGAAGACAATTCACTCCTGCAAGAGAGCAGAATGGAGAGTACATGGGCACAGTGACAAGGGAGCGTGTGGATGAGGCTGTGGAAGCCTGTGGTGGTTTGCTTCTGGTTGTGGACACCGTCTCTGGCTACAGCATCTCATGAGGAGCAGAGAGAGCATGTGTAATAAAGAGATGAGAACCTGCGTCAGATCCTGGATGGATTCTAATTCAATTTTTTTTAATGTTTATTTATTTTTGAGAAAGAGAGACAGACAGACAGACAGACAGAGTGACAGTGGGGGTGGGGCAGAAAGAGAGGGAGACGCAGAATCTGAAGCAGGCTCCAGGTTCTGAGCTATCAGCGCACAGCCCAATGCAGGGCTCGAACCCAGGAACTGTGAGATCATGACCTGAGCTGAAGTCGGATGCTTAACCGACTGAGCCACACAGGCACCCCAGATTCTGATTCTTCAGGAGCAGTCCAACAGCAAATAGAGCACTGAGTGGAACTGGTGCATAAAGCCATTAAGGAAAAATTGGGCTACCGTGGAATCTCACAAGCCAAGAGGTGTGTTTCAAGACATGGTGCATGTGAAGAATGAAATGGCCCAAAGGGAACTCGCCAGTTGGCGTAAAGGTGACACACTTCACTTGGGAAGGGGAGGAAGCCCTACCAAAGAGCTGACTTTTTCTACAAGAGTCTATAGTACAACATGACATGAATTATCTTGAGCAGGTATATGCCTCGACATGGTAAGCAAATTTAGCTTGTTTCTACCATAGACATAATAACCTCCCAAATGGTACGGATATATTAAACGTTAACTTTTTCTGAAGCTTTAAAGAATGATGAGACAGTATGTCATAGAGCATCAGAGTGGTTGATTCTCAAACGGTTTATTATCCTTGTAAAAGTCAACCCCTCCCAAAACACATGTTTAAGTTTCACCACTAAATCTGCAGAGTAGTAGAGTTTGTCTTTCTACTCTATGAGCATAAAGTTCTCAAAGTACAGCCCATTCGCAGGGTTGTGAGTATAAATTACCGAGAAGAATCACTTCATCCACAGATTCGAGCTAGCATTTTAAAGCAACACTGCCACCAGAAGACTAGAAGGAAAAATAACGGCTAAAAACCACAGTACAGGCTAATTACGGAATATTTACCAAGTCTCCCAACGTGGCTACATTACAGCCCGCCCCCCATCAGTTCTTCAAAAAACACCCGTTCCTTCTTGTATAATTTTTTTTCAGCATAAGCTAACCTACTAAGATACAGGTTTCAAATCCGAAGGCAGTCCTCCACTGCAGTAAAACGAGCTAACAAAGAGCATATAACTGTTTTCCGTCCACAGTAAATGAAAAATACATAATGCCCTGGGGTCAGCATCTTTGTATTAGACTTAACAGTAAATGTAACCAGGCACCTGATGAAGCTCTAAAGATGCCTGAGTGACAAAGAGCACAACCTTCCAGACGCAAAATTTATTCAAGAGAAAAAAAAAAAAGAAAGAAAGAAAAGAAACAAGATGAAACAGACTAGACGATCACTAAAGAAGAGAGATTAATTTAACATACTCTTTTGAACTTAACAATTGTATCCTGAGGTCCTCCGTCTTCGTCTAAGTAGTGTTTACACGAATACGCACAAACGCAAAAAGTCTTCGAGCGCTTTATGTACGCAGATTATCAATGATTTTTAAACAGGTGGTGGGACATTGTGTCCTAACGCCAAATAACTCCGCGTCGTGTCTCGGAATCGCCGAATCCGCCACTGTTCACAACTGGGGAAACACTGGGTCGTGGTGGGACCCAAGTCCCCGGCTCAGGTCCAGGGACCCCCACCCCCCGCCCCGAGCTCAGAGGCTTCCCCTTCCCGGCGCGCTTCCGAGGCGCCAGGCGCACCCCGGGGGCTCGCACGTCCGGGATTAAAGGGCTGGCCGGGGAGGGCGTGCCCGGCCCCGGCCCCGGCCCCGGCCGCGCCGCGGCTTACCCGGTAGTTGCTCGAGCCCACCCAGCCGGTGAGCGCGTCGATCGTCTTGCTCAGGCGGCCCAGGTCCTCCTCCAGGTCCGGGATGGCGCCGGGGGCGCCCAGATAGAGCAGCAGCTCCTGGCCGACCCGCAGGCGGCCGCCGACGTCCTTCTGCAGCACCTGGGCGCCGAAGTACTCCATGCCGCGGGGCTCCATGGCCGCCCGCCCGCCCGCACGCCCGCCCGCGGGGGACCAGCTTCGGCCGAGCGCCGCCCAGCCGCCCGTGCGGGTCCCCGCCGCTGCGGGCCGGACGCGCCTCGCGGGGCGCGGCGGGCTGCGGGAGCGGCGCCAGGCGCCGAGCGGCCCCCAAACTAGTCAAACTCGGCGCCCCCCGCCACCCAGCCCGCTTTAGAGGCCGCGGCCGCCGGCGACGTCAGCGCGCGCGTGACGTCAGCGCGACGTCGGCGAGCGCCGCCCCTCCCGCCTGCCGCTCCGCCGCCGCGGCGCCCGCCGGGGCTGCCGGGCGTAGCGGGACCGCGGGCGGGTGGGTCGGCGTCCCGGTCGGCGTCCCCCCGGGGGCGGCGCGTTCCCTGGCGTCCGCCGCCGCAGCTTCTTCGTCTCACCCTGTAACATAGAGAACGCTTCCAAGTTTTCTTCTTGAAACCGACACTTGGGAACGTTTCTGGTCCTTGGAAATCCCCCTCCCCCGTCTCACACGCTTCCTCATTAAAAACCACCGTGACCCCTGCTTCCAGCCACCTTCCTTGGTTGGGTCTCCGTGTAATTTTTGCTTTGGTTTGGTTTTTAACTGAGGTTTAATTTACGTGGAATAAAATGCACCTACAGTGTACAGTCCATGAGTTTGGGCAGATTTGGTCACCAGGGTAAGCGCGGCACCAATAAAGACGTAGCACGCTTCCATCACTCGCAGGCGATTCTAATCCGATTTCTAGCACTTTAACGTAGTTTTACCCGTTCTTTGACGTCACATAACTTCCCAGTACGGCCGGCGTGTCGCTAGTCCTTCCCTCCGCGGAGTAGTATAGTCCGCTGGGCGGAAGCGGACGCTTGTGGGCCCGTTCACCTGCTCCTTGCATTCCCAGGTGTTTAATAATGGTGAATAAAGCGCCTATAACCATTCGCAGTTTCGTACAAGGCCTTGTGTGGACACATGTTTTCGTTTCTCTTGGGTAAATACCAAGGACTGGAATTACCGGGTCTTCAGATAAGTATGTATTTAACTTGAGAAGAAACTGCCAGACTGTTGCCCCAAGTGGCTGAACCGTATTTATTACCAGCAGTGCTTCAAGTTCAGTTGCTCCACATTCTCCACAATATTTAGTTCAGCCAGGGTTATTGATTTTAGCCATTTTTGAGTGCGAAGTGGTCTAGAATACATTCTAAGCGCACAACGTGGCCATCTTCCTGCCAGTTCTTTCCAACCACAATTTAGTAATTGTGTGTATAATATCTGGGTACCACACAAAAAACTCCAAGATAATTTGTGTTTTGCCTAGGATGCTGCTTGGCAAATAATGGAGGCTCAATCGATTTAAGTTGAACAAGTGAATCAATTCAATGAAAATTGACATGCTGATAATTGAAGTGTTCATAAAAACAAAATAACAGTGACGACAATTATAATACATGCTCTAATTTCTATTCTTGTTTTTTCAATGTTTATTTATTTTGAGAAAGAAAGAGAGAGCAAGTGGGGCAGGGAGGCAGAGAGAGAGACAGAGAGTGAGAGAGAATCCCAAGCAGGCTCCAGAGCCGGGTAAGGGGCTTGATCCCACAGGCCGAGAGTTCATGACCTGAGTCAAATCAAGCATCAGATGCATAACCAACTGAACCACCCAGGTGACTCTGATGGGTTTTTTCCTTCCAGATTTGTGTTTTATATTGTATCTTAAAGTTTCTTTCATCTATAATTGCTATAATTTCCCTGAAACTGGAGCTCAATCAAGGAAACGGTGGTAACTATTCCTCAGGTGCCTAAAGGTTCTACTCATGCAGGGGTCCAGAAGAATATAAGAGGATCCTGCCCACGAGAACTTTACACTCTATTTGCCGGTGACCAGGTGCAATACATGGTGTAGGAAAAAAAGAAAATGTAGGAGCCGTGGATTCTAGGTTCAATCCTACCTGTTCCTTTAACCAAAAGTGACGGCTGCTCTTGGCCTTCCATTCGCCTTTCTGAACTCAGAGATCACACTAGATGGTCTTTAAGTTATAAGAAAACTAGTCTTCAAGTGATAAGATAATACGATGGCATTTGAATACCCCTGGAAGTACCTATAAAATGCTTAGTAAACACTGGTCACTATTACTCCTATATACCTGTGTCTGTTTCACAAGTTCAGCAACAAATATCTTCTGAGCATTTGTTACATGCTGAATACTGTGCCAGATTCAACAGATAACAACGTTCATTTAGATCCGGTCTCCACCCACAACAAACTCAAACAGAGACCAAAAAGAGCAACAATTCTAGGATGCTACAATGGGATAAGTAAAGTGTTTTGGGAAACCTAGATGAGAGGTTCCTTATCTCGATGGCACTGAGAACGGGAGTAGGGGAGTTACAAATCAGGAAGGCTTCCCGGCATAGGTTACACAGGTTATATTTAAATTGAGGTTTGAGGGTACATAGGAATCAGCTAATTAAAGAGGTGGCTTCCTGGAGAATAGTTTATCTACAAAATATAGTCCTGACTGTTGTAACATTTGTTACATACCTACTACAGGATGTACATATTTCTCTAGATCACTGTTGTCTACCCTAGGTTAAACATCATTAGAACAAAGTTTTCAGGGGCGCCTGGGTGGCTTAGTCAGTTAAGCGTCCGACTTTCGCTTAGGTCATGATCTCGTGCGGTTCGTGGGTTCGGGCCCCGTGTCAGGCTCTGTGCTGACTGCCAGCTCAGAGCCTGGAGCCTGTTTCAGAGTCTGTGACCCCCTCTCTCTCTGACCCTCCCCTGCTCACGCTGTCTCTCTCTCTCTCTCTCTCTTAGAAATAAATAAAACATTAAAAAAAATTAGAACAAAGTTTTCAGACTTTCTAGTTCACAGCACTTAGCATCTCAGTCAATTTTCACACACTTTTAGACCAAAAGACATACCTAAGAAATACCACCTATTAAATAGTAAGATCCAACAACTTAATGAGTATTCATATCCTAAGATCGTAGTGGGCATATGAAAAATAACACACAAAAATTGAGAAAAATACATTTTTATTTCATTTTCAAATAACCACACTTAGGTACTGATGATCTATCTTTACCTCTCAGTCACTGCAATTTCTCAAACCTTGGATTCAGATGGGATTCTGCCATGTTCAACCTGTTTTACAAAAATTTCCATACAGCACTTACTTTTCATTACAGCAACCACAGAAATCAGTCTTGCACGATGAAAAATATGTACCACAATTTGCTGAAACTGTGAGCCAGTATAGTTCATGCCATCTCTGACAGATGCCAAGTTTCACTGTTTCCCTTTAAAATTTAAAATATCCCAGGGATGCCTGGATGGTTCAGTCGGTTAACTGTGCAGCTTTGGCCTTGGTCATGATTTCACGGTTTGTGGGTTCAATCCCCCCATAGGGCTCTGTGCTGACAACTCAGAGTCTGGAGCCTGCTTCGGTTTCTGTCTCCTCTCTCTGGTCCTCCCCCTCTTGTGCTCTGTCTCTCTCTCTCAAAAATAATAAATAAGCATTAAAAAAAATGTCCTGGACTGCTCTAGGTGGGTTTTCTGCAGCACCCTGGGGGTGCCTGAGTACACAGTTTAGGCAACTTGGCAGACAGATCCCTGTCAATACCCAAGTTATAAGGAGACAACAGGAAACACAAACTTTCTCAAGTAGCAAGAAGACGTGAGTCCAATGAGAACTGGGCTTCACAAAGGCTGTTGTGTGAAGAACTCAGCTTGACTTATGTCTTTTAATCCTCCAAGCACTCCTATATGGAAGGTACTGAATCCCATTTTAGAAACGAGAAAGCTGAGGCTCAGAAGTTAAATCTCCAGGCTTGCTCATGATTTCAGATCCATGATTAAAACCTTGGATGTCTGTCTTCTGTTGTGTCCCAAATAGACAATCTTAGAGGAAAGAAAATGAAAAAGAAAATTTTGGAATTAACTACCAAAATAATAACACTTCCTGTATAACATACTTTCTTTGACTATCTACATAGTATTTCCATTTAGAACCTGCCTCTCACTGAATTACTATTAAAAAGAAAAGGAAAGGGTAAGGAGATGAAGAAAATGGGTAGGACTCTTAGGAAAAAAACAGTGTAGAAAACTTCTACATTCTTTAATAATCAGTCACTAAAATATATCTGGGAGCACAAGTCTATTTTTAACTGGCAAGAAGACTGAAATAGATCATTTAAATACAGGAGGCTGACTTTCTGACCAGTTTGTACATTATTTGTGATGATAGTGGAAACTCTGAGCAGACTTTATGACATTGGACTTTATTTTCCATTTGAAGACTAAGAGACAAATCACTGCTAGTTTGAAACCATACGCCAACAAAAATCCATCGAGTAGGGGCGCTATGTTAAATACTAGAGTGGGAGGGGGCATTGGATGGCTTACCAAAGGTAGATCACATCCCTCCTTGAAGGGTAAGTATGCACACAAATGTTCAAAGTAGTTTTATTCATAATTGCCTGAACTGGAAACACCCCAAGTGTCCTCCAACTGGAAATTGGATAACTGTGGTACAGCCAGACAGTTGAATTGTGCAAAGCAATAAAAAACAAACTACTGGTTTACTCAACAATGAGGATGAGTCTCAAACACCCTATGCTGAACACAAGACACAAAATAGTGATTCTATTCATACGAAGCTCTAATACAACTTAGATTACTAAGTGTAATTACAGGTAATACACTTACCTGTAAGTGAGTTGTTAATGGAAGTTATCACAAAGAATGGGAGTCAGTGGGTATCAACTCAGAGGCAACATTCTGCATCCTAATCTGAATGGTGATTAGAGCAGAGTATGAATAGGTAAAAATTCAGCAAGTTGTGCACTTAACATTAGAACATGGTGCATTTGTGATATGTATGTTATAACTAATGAAAATGGGAAAAAAAGATTAGGAACAAAGGAAAATAAGGAATAAAAAAGGCACTAAAAGGAAAATATGGGTCTATTCAGTGCTATTCACTAGAAATATGATATACATGTGATCATAAAATATATGTGATTAAAAATTTTCTAGTAGCTACGTTTTAAAAAGGGAAAAGAAACATGAAGTCATATTTAGAATATCCAAATTATATTTCATAGTATTTTATGTGATAATATTTTTAAGTGACATTTAATAAAGTTATAGATGACAATGTTTTTAAAGGTTATATTAAATACTTTTATAATTTTATAATATTTAATAT